GAAAAATAATGCAGCATCCGTGCTCTCACAACATTTCCCCATTAGCGCTCTGTAGCATCCCATCTGGATGCACAATCAAAGGCACCAATGCAAGAGTGGAAGTAGCGTTAAAGGCAACTGCAAAATGCACATTTAGCCGTTTGCAGCTAAAAGCTCATCCTGGGCGTCATTAGCGCTGAAGCCCACGTGTAGAAATCAGCATAAACCTGCAACAGGGTGAGAGGAAACATCTATATGTGCACCTCCATCTGTTACTTCTGCATGGGAACACTCAATCATGTCACCGTGGGCCTCGGGGGAACTTTTCTTCAAGGCGGGAACCTAATGGAGGACAGGGATGTGAGTAATCAGAGCAGAGTGGGCAGCAGCAGATGACCACAAGTGGCTGGTGCTCGTCGGGGGAATCTGGATGCAGAGGTTAGGCAGGGATAGGAAAACCACACTGGAAAACTGACTTGGGAATGGCATCTGGTTCCCATATCCACAGTGTATCACAATTAGCCGGCATAAAATGACTTTAATGTGTGTGTGTGTGTGTGTTTGTGTGTGTGTGTGTGTCTGCTTGTTGTTATGCGTTGGATGTTCCTGTGGGAGCGGGGACTCTGTGAACTGAGGAAAGTGATAGTACGACTGGTTATGTGAGCGCGTTTGTGTAAGTACAGATGCAAATGGAACACGGAGGAGATTCTCAGCCGGGGAGGGTCTCCTCATTACCGAGCAGGGAGACATTTAAAGGGCTTCAACGTAAATTGTAGGCATAAAAAGCCAAAAACCATCCGAGCCAAATTTCTCCCTGTGCAATTCTAAGCAAATTTCGGACCCACAGGCTTCTTGTTGTGGATATGAAATGTTGAATAACGGACAATGTTCCAGTTGGAAAAGTAGTTCTTTTACTTCTTCTGTTCATTCGATTAGAACCACATACTGGCTGCTCCACATTTCTCATCATTTGATGTAGCGAGCCGGAGGAAAATTCCTCTCAATCACAAAGCTGTCAAGCCTCTTTTTTTTCTTTCTCTTCAGCATTCTGTGCTAATTCTTCAACCACGCTAAGTTAGTGACAGTCAGTTTTCCCTGCGAGTGTTCCGCCCGCTCAGCCGGCCAAGGTACACTACTAACTGCTTCAAATCCCGGTGAGTAAACCTCAGGGTTGGCCCGAGTGCTGCCGATTGTCATTTACTGACAAACAAGCGCCGCTGATGGGCACAGCGTGAGCGCAGGGCTGACATCTAAAAGGTCAAACTCTTAATGTTGTCACATCCAGTGCCAGTAGGCTTCTTCAGGCACCGCTGCCCTTATGAGCCCAAATAAACGCTGTCATGTCAAATAGATCCACTTTCGGCTCTCGGCGGGGCCCTTCGCAGCGCCAAGGCCTGCCCTCCCCTCGGATGTTATGCGCTTTTCTCAACATAGCAAAAAAAAGAAAAGCGTAAACGAAGACAACTCCCGAGCATGCTGGAGTTCACTTTGGATACTCCGGCACCCTTCCTCCTCTGTAGGGCAAGAAGTGATCAAAGTCCAGCTGGAATATGTTTTATTAACAGGTGTGGAGCTGAGGTGCATATCAGATGGAGGATGAAGGGTTGAGGGGCTCCTCTGCCTCTAATCCATGTACCGCCGCCGCTGCATTATTCATGACGGATCATCCTCAACCCGCGTCGCCGGAATCTCCGCTGATGAAGCGGCTACCCAGACGCAACCGGCTTTATTTACTTCAACACGACCGAACTCCTTCACGTGCTGCAGAGAAGCTGGCTTGGCCCGAGACTCCGGTGCGGTGCAGAAGACATGCTTAGCGGGGCCGAAGCGGGTTTGGTATTTCCAGCGTTGTATCATTTTCAAATATTTCCCCTTTTTTCCTTCTGACCAGAACTTCCAAAGCAGTTTCTCTCTCTGTGTAATTCTAATTCAGTGTGGCATATAGTCTGCTCTAAAAAAGTAACAGTGGTGTTCGTGGGTACTCGAGTGCGGCCTCGGGGATGGTGTTTTATGCTTGATTGGTGCTAAATGGTGTGCACACACAGCGGTGGGTGCTTGGGGTTGATGTTTTGACATGGAGCGCCCTCAGAGAGTGGCGGGAAGATGAGAACAGAAGATACGGAGATGGCAAACACACACCTCCGCCTGTATCTGTAGGTTTTTCCGACATCCGAGTCTGTGACGCAAAAATTGAAGGAAAAAAGCGGGGAAGTCAAAACAAGGCAAATCGCTTTTCCACGTTTGAGCGACGAGGATCCCTCCCCGACGAGTTTCGATGGAGGATTCTCTTTCTGACCGCACGTCCCCCCGTCCGTTCATCAGCGCCGATTAAGTCGCGGATACGTGTAATGACTTCTGCAGCGGTTTCGGGTTTGTTTGGCTCCGACGGCTGTGTACAATTTACGCAGTGTTCCCGGAGTTCCAGTGGGGAGCTGCTGAATATTCATAGGGTTGTGCGTCCTCCTCCTCCTCCTCCTCCTCCTCCCACCACCATCCCCTGGGTGGGCATACCGAAACCACATGAGATCACTTACTCTTCTTTAAAGGAAGCTGGCACTGGATTTTTTTTTCTTTTTTTAAATTTCAGAACCAGATTTCGGTGAGCATCGGGTGAGCCGCTGTCAGATTGCAGCCAGTGGAGCAGCCAGCTGGTTGGATCCATGCAGACTTCTTGTTGTTTCGCTAACTTAAGGCACTTCCAGCACCTCCTGCTACCTGTAATGACCTCATCAGAGAGCTGTCAGGCTCTTATGTGCGCTGGATTTACAGGACCGGCTACCTGTAAATCCAGCTTCCGCAAACATTTCAGAGACACCTCCTGAACTTTTTTTTTTTTTGTCTGCTCTTGAGACATCTCACAGTATGATTTTATTTGTCAGATGTAAGGCCTGGCGAGAGAGGCCTGAAAAAAAGCAAGACCACCTGCACTTACTTATGTCCCAGAACCCCAGGAGCGAGTGTCTGAGAAGGCTCAGAGGATTAACTTACGACTTTTACAGCTCAGTCGGCACACGCTATTATACCTATTCAATCATACTTGCCTCTGGACTGTAAAAGTGTTTTTTTCTTTGTTGTTTTTTTTCAGCAGAGCACATGTACGCACACACACACAGTGCCCGCTTGACCCGGTTATAAAGCAAACTGTCACAAGCCCTGGCACTTATAAATGTATGTATGCGTTTCTCTTCATCTTCGGGGGGGAAACTCTGAAGTTTTCCATCTGTTAAGAGGAGTGAATCTGTGATCACCCAGCAGCGTAATGAGGTGAGATAATCTCCTCGGGTTCAGGGAGCTGGCAGGGACGGATGCTGGTAGCAGGAATATTACAGAGCAGACCGGCCAGATGATAGGGACACGGCTCCCTGTGAGAGGAAATTCTAAGAATATAGTCACAATGCAACTGGTGGGGGCGGTGTTGTTTGAACTTTTTGAATTTTGGAAAATGCACCTATTGACCAAGAAAATCAGTTGCATTCTTATGGTTAAAGCTCATTTTTAAGTCGCAGAGAGTAGCTGGTTAGCATAGCTTAGCATAAGGCAACGTGAAACAGCTACTCGACTGAAAAACTCATGAATTTACATGTTATATTTGGTTTGTTTAGTCTCTACTGTAAAACTTGAGGAGTAATTTATGGTTGTAACTCTCTAAACTCCAAACAATTTCTGGGTGTTTTTTCCTCCCGTCCCATTTTTACTAGTGATGCACGATATTAAAACTTCTGGCCGATACCGATATTAAGATTTCTGATAACGCCGATAACCGATATTATCGATGTCGATATTCAATTTTTGTTCACACCAAAAAAATGAGTATAAGTAAGCACTATGAGAACGTGAAAACAACAACAACAAAAGTAAAGCATATTTAAACATATTTAAGTCCAGGACCACAAAGTAAAAACATCTGGATAATAGCAGCAATATCAAACGTAGAGACGAAGGCACTAATGTTAGACAACCATCGGTTTTTCACATCGGCTAAATTTGTTCATCGGACCGATACCGATATATCGGAAAAAACACTAATATCGGCCGATACCGATGTGGCCGCCGATATATCGTGCATCACAAATTTTTACTCATTTCTTTGCTGAAATAAAAAACTCTGCACAACCACAGCTAGAAGTAGAGAGAATTTTAAAAAATGGATTTTGTGCTCTATGGTGCTGCTATAACGCCATTGAACATTAAAAAAAGGAGGAAAACTAATTATGAATTGCTTGGATTATTTGTTTTACAAAAATTTAAAAAAGCACGGAATCAACAATTTTTCCAAGTGTACACAGTTAGAAAGCAGAATTCCACAAAAAATACAAGGGAAAAAAGGGTTAAATCACATTTTATAGATATTTTTACTACTCACTGCCTGCAGTTCAAGCAAGAAAAAGTCTCTGAATTTTTACCATGTGACTGTTGGTGACAGCTGGGTCAGCCATAACACCACAGTTGCATCAAACATTACAGATTTTTTCTATTTTTACAGAATCAGTTTGCTGCAAAGGGTTTAATTTTTAAGATTTTTTAAGAATAAGACAAGTAGAATTTGGGTTATTATCACTATTTTAAGCTGAGATTTGGTTAATGAGACGTTTATGGAATTTTAGAAGGTGAAAACATCTTTTTTTTACAGTTTCTAGCTGGAATAAATGATGTAACTTTGGTGATTTTTTTTTCAAACATAACAAGCCTTTTAAACTTGCTGGCCTGCTTTGGAGCTCAGGATCACATGCAGGACTGTTTCTTTGCTCCCTGGAGCTCCCGCTGGCTTCTCGACAAGCTCACCGTGATAACAAGACTGGAGGTAAATTTAGACCGGAGAGCGCTCATCGATCGTCTCGACTCCGAGCGAGGGAGGGAGCCAGTGACTCTGTTTCCCAAAATGTCAAATGACTTCATGGTTTTGCTGCCAGTCCTTGGCGTTAAATCATCTCTGTGGGTACTAGCTACTCGTCTCGTGTCTACATGTGTCGGGTTGCTTTTACCTTCGGATGGCAGAAGAATGAAGAGGCAGGGATACTTACAGGAGGTCCTGAAAGAGAAGAGAGAGACATCATGTAAGAAAATCGACTTGAGATGTTCGTGATACGTTCACTGACACTCGTCTTTCTACCTGTGCTACACAATCATCAGCACAATCTCTTTTCCATGCAGCCGCGCCACCAGGCCCGGCGATCGCATTCGACGTCGCTAAGTGGCTCTGATTTCACTGCTACAAGGGGTTGCGCGCTTGTTAAAAAATCCCCCCACGTTTTTGTGAGGTGACACTCGTCTTTTTCCCTCCAATTACTGCCGCTCAAAGGAGTCCGTGCCAGTGCAGTTCAGGGCTCCCCCAGAACCCCGCAAATCATTCCAGGTCTTTAGGTTCTTATTAAAAAGGTACCCAGCTGCTTTAACCCTGAAAAGAAGGAGGGGTTTTTTTGTCTTTACAAGTCCTATGTCCTTGAACTGTTCTTCTTCATGACCGGTTGCAAATCGCTCCTGCAGCTGGGGCGTTTAAGGAGCCGTGTGCTGGAGGCTGGCCGGGCCGCATTTCTGTCGCGTTGTTTTATGGATCGTTGAGCTACAGTAGACCACTTAGGTTTTAATAAACCCGCTCCCCCGTGTGTTTCTTTCTGACGTGTCCCACTGTGTCGAATGGCTCAGAACAAGTATTTCGAACAGCAATTATGGAAAAAAAAAATCAAAGAAAAATGTGATAAAAGGGTACAATTTCCTGCAAAGCCCAGAGCAGGCACCTCAAAGGTTTCAGGGGATACGGCTGTTAGGACTTCTTGATGGTCGAAGTTAAATTAAAAACAGCGTTACAAAACACAGCGTGAGACGTCGTGTTAAATAATGCATCGTGGTTTAGAAAAAAGAAAAAGAAAAATCGTATAAAAACAGTGGAAATCTGGCAGCAAAGGTGCCAGAAAATGGTGAGAATAAGGACAAATGTCATAAAAATAATGATTTATTACTTTTTTTTTTCTTTTTGCAGTTTTAACCAAAATTCTGTCTGTTAGTTCTGTAATTTAACAAAACAGGAAAAATCTGTAAAATTAAAGTTAATGTAATTGTCTGCCATTTTTCTAACTCAACTTAGATATTATTATTATTATTATTATTTTTATTATTATTATTGCAATGTCTCAAATATCTGTAAAATAACTACATTTTTAGATTATTTAAATAAAGCAAACATTTTATGGTCAAAAATAGGAAAAGAAACAATTACCATCTGTTTTATTTTTATTTTTTAAAAATAATTTATTTATTTTTTGCCAGTTCTTTAATTTAACAAAACAGGAAAAATCTGTAAAATTAGAGTTTACATAATTGTCATTTTTCCAACTCAACTTCTATATTTTTCTAATAACAATAATAATAATAATAATAATAACAATAACAATGTCTCAAATATGTGTAAATAACTGCATTTTAGATTATTTAAATAAAGTTAAAATATTTTATGTTCAAACAATTACCATCAATAAAAAAAAAATCTTTTTCAATAAAATAAAATTTTTTGTTAGGCTATTATTTGCAGTTTCAGTCTGTTCCTTTCTTCTTTTTTTAGGGTTAATATGTAAAAGAAAATATTTCTTCTGTTTTTTACTAGTTCTTATCTGTAATTCTTTCAAATAACATGATATCTGAAACATCAAACAACAATCAAATAATATCTGTACAACGAGGATATTTTTGCTATTTCATGTAATTTTACAGTCAAAAGTGGTAAAAGAACAAAACAGAATTTATAAAAGCACAGACGAATGATGTGTACATTATTTACACTTGTCGTCTGTGTGTTTTGTACAGTTAATATGTAAATTAATACCTATTTCTGTGATCTTACGACTTATCTTTAATTCAAACCTCACTGCTAATATTAGTAAAATAACAGTAAATTGTAAAAAAAACACAGTTTAAAGACTTTTTAAAATTTGTTTTACAGTGTAACTGACTCCCGAGCATCAATTCTTATGCAGAAACTGGTTCCTCACATGATGATTAAAGCTGTTTTCATGCTTTTAAAACGACACAAAGGTCACACAGCAGCTGCAGCCGAAGCCTGAAAGTCACTCGTTTTTAATGAAGAAAATCTGCTACTGTACGCTTAAACTGCTTAAGCTGCTCAATCCGAGCATCAATCCCTCCTTTGCCCAGCGCAGGTACCTGAGTAACAAGTCCTGATTATTCGCACATGGGAAAATATGCGAGGAAACTTCTGACGCTTTCCAGCTTCGACCACCTGCTAGAACAGTTTGCGACTGTGGCTTCTCGTGGCTACAAAACCTTTTTTCATCCTAAACTGTCGTGCCACACTTTCCCCTTTCCATACGTTAGCGGCAAACAAACAGGAGATCCTAATGAAGCGTCCCATTCATGTTTAACGTCGAGGTAAACATCGCCGTGTCTCTTTCCTTTCTGTCAGTCGCAGCCAAGTGTGGGCGAGACCTTCCCTCCCCGCCTTTGTAGATGAGCAAACTGCAAAACACCTCGGCATGAATTTGCGGAGGTGGTGGTGGTGGTGGTGGGGGGAGAGCAGCTCACCGCGGTTTAGTTACTTTTGGTTAAAGTGAATCATGAATTAAATATGCCTGCCTTCAACATGCACCAGTGTTGAGAACTTAAGAGAGGGGAAATTGGATTTGCAGAAGGCTTACGGTGCAGAATTCGGTCCGCCTGAGCCCATCAAGGGCTGAATTTTTCAGTCGTATAAGTAATGTTTTCAGCTTTTTTGTCCTGCTCGGGGTTTGACGCTTGGATGATGCAGCACAGGGGGGGGGGAGTGTATTCCAGATTACTGTTAATGTGCAGGATTAAAAGCGACATAAGTGTAGATTAAAAGCTGCTTTTTTGACAATACACTTCATCCCAGTTAGTGCTGTAATTTGGCCTCCTGTACAGAATCCTAATCCCAGTTCTTCCCCCTATTGTGGACCACTGTACCTCTGCAGCCCAGACATCATGACTGGGCACGATTGTTTGCTTGTTTCCAATTGATTTGTCAAGAGAAGGCTATTCACATTCTCCACATTGGCTGAACAGGAGAAAAAAAAAAAAAGTGAAATTGTCTATGCACAATGGTGCCATTTGAAATACGCTGGCACGCTGGATGTTTATTGGAAAGTTGAGCGCTGCATAAACAAAGCCTGGCCGTGTTTCAGATCTGCAGCCAAGCAGAACATTGAACCGTTGTCTGACTGTCGTTTGATTTCACCGTTTTTTCATCTTCCCTCACTTAAATCAGGAAAAAAATGCTAAACTCCAAAAGGATCATCACAGCAAACCTCAGCTGATACAGGTAGTGTCTGGATTTGTTGGGGCTTTTTTTTTTTTTTGAACAAACTCAGGATCTTGCTTTTTTTCCCTTCTATTTATTCATTTATTTATTTATTTTCCTACAAGGGCAATACTTTTGTTTGCGCGCTCGGCTGCTCTCGCCCCACTCCAGAGCCCATTATCGCCTCCGCCATCGGGAGTGCATGTTCTGGCTGAGAATTCAATTTGCGGGGCGACGCTTTTCCGGCGCCGCGTCCTTCTTCCTCGACACTCGGAGGGCTTCCGCCGACTTCCCTGAGTCAGAGCGGCGGGGAGTGTTTGCGTGGGAGGAGATTTGAGATCCTTGAATCTGTTACGACAACTTGTTGCTGAAGTTTGTGGAAGGGTTGTTATATACACACACACACGCCGAAAGCTGGACTCGAGCGGGGTGTCTAAAAGTTTAGACACGGACGTCATCGGGCCCGACAACTTTGGCCGTCACTTGTCAAAGCGGCAGCTTTACTGTGAAAATCCACCGTTTCCACGGCGACCGGAGCTCAAACAATCCGGCTCGAAACCGCCGAGGCCACAAATTACACATCTATAACCTATTTTGGCCTCCAAAGATATACAGTGTACTTTTACATGATTGTAAGTGCAGCGTGATTTGCTGATGTCTCGCTGAATTATTCCCTGAAACTGTTCCTGGATTGAAGCTGCTGTGATCTCCGGTCCAAACGCACACAAATGCACATACCAGGTTCTCCGTTGCGGCCTCGTCTTCCTCGCTTCCCCGGAGGTCCTGCACAAAACAAGAACATAATACATTTTACTCGGTAATTTGATTGTCTTTTTGTTTGTGTAACTTTCACGTCCTCCAAGTATTCTCAGAGCCACGGCGGCGGCCGGCACCGTGGACGAGGAGGAACCGCCGGGGACGCGTTGCATCTGGGCGATAAGCACCTCGGCGTTTGTTAAGCGTTTAGACTCTGAGGTGGAAGGAGCGCCGTCGTCTCCATTCCTTTTTTCTCCCTCTCCCGAGTTTTCTTTCAGCACGGATGCCCCGGTTTTTAATTTGTTTATCTAGACAGTGTTTTCCTGTTTGCCTTCCTCCTATCAACACTATCATGCTGCTAACGCTCAGCTGGAGGAGTAAAACAATTACACGCTTTGCCAGGTTTTACACGTCCAGGACTCGGCTGGTTTTATATTGTGAGCAGGTAGTCTCAAAAAAAGAAAGAAAGGGAATAAAACCTTTGGAAAGCATCTCTCTGAAAATGTCCTCCGAGCGGAACATGAAGTGGTTTCCTGACGGTTCTGTTTACTGGTTTAACCCCAAAAACAACTTTGACACGAGCGGAGTAGTGGAGCTCTTCTCATGGTGGATGTTATCAGCAAAAAGAAAAGGAGAACTACATTACAGTTAAAATCAAAGAGAACTTTCACAGCTGTTGTGTTATGAAACTAGCATGTAGTAGAAAGATGCACTACTAGTCATCAAAAGGAGATAAAACTGAAAAAATTGGATCTTCTGTGGAGGCGGATCAACGTTAGCACTGACTGAAGTTATGGAATGAAGTGGTGAATGTCAGTGCAGTCAACATTTACTAAACTGCAGAGTTGATAATGATTTATTCCATATTTTATAACAACAGAAAGACTGATGAAAATAAATTCGTGACCCTTTAGGCAGTTTACAGCTGTTGTTTGCTTTTATCACAACAACATGAGTCGTGCGCCTCTATGAAAACAGACAAACTATAAGTAGTGAGAACTCTTAAATATCTTTTGTGCGAGTTATAATCCATCCATCCATCATCTATACACCGCTTAATCCTCACTAGGGTCATGGGGGGCTGGAGTCTATCCCAGCTGACTCAGGGTGAAGGCAGGTTCACCTGGACAGGTCACCAGTCTATCACAGGGCTACACTTAGAGACAGACAACCAAGCACACTCACATTCACACCTACGGACAATTTAGAATCACCAATTAACCTCAACATGTTTTTGGGCTGTGTGGGAGGAAGCCGGAGAACCCGGAGAGAACCCACGCTGCACGGGGAGAACATGGAGACTCCACGCAGAAAGATCCCGGGTGTCCTCACCGGGATGCGAACCGGCGACCTTCTAGCTGCGAGGCAACGATGCTAACCACTGAGTCGCCCTGCAAGTTATAATGCCATATCTATTTTTTTTATTATAATTTTTTTTATTTTTGCCATTAGTTATTTACAAAGAAATTAAAGACCTGAAATCAACATGAACAACATTTTTCCAACAGCTGTCACCAAAACTGGCAAAGAACAGTGACTGCACATACTAGACACAATATTTGACAACTTATTTATTTAGTTTCTACACTTTCCTTCTGTCTGTTCTGTATAAACACATCCTGCAGTTCAACCTAAAAGTCCCTGAATTTTTGCAACCAAACTGTTGGTCACAGCTAAGTCGCTAATGGCTTTATAGTTTGGTCAAGGGGTGCAAAACTTTTTGTTTTTTACTGAATGTGGCCACAACAAGCGGATTTTTTGCCAAACCTTTTTCTGCCACATGCAGATTAAAGTGATTTTAGGCTTGGATTTGGTGAAGTTTGCCACAAATGACCGTCGAAGAGTCGAGTATCTGATAGTTTTTTCTGTTTTTACATATTCTGCTTCTGATAAATGGTGTAATTCTGTTAAAAAGACAACACGCCTTTCGGGGTTCACGGGGCTAAAGGAGCCGTCGGCATCAAAAGGGCTGCAAATGAAAACAGAACCGAGAGCAACAGCCTCCTCCGTCTGCCGCGGCATCAAAAAGAAATCCAGATCCAGTTTCAGGCAGCAATAATACTGAGAAGAGTTATTATGCAAATGACTTCGAAACCTCTTTTGACCCCCTTTCAGTCAAAGAATTGCATTTAGCCGCTGTGTTCAAGGTTCAAGATAATTACGGTAATGAAATGGGTTCGGGGAAAGTTTCTGAACAGACTCTGACAGCTGCTCCGAGAGGACGACTTTACGACACTGGGCTTTTGTCAGCGGCGAAAAAAACAAGACTAAAAATACAAAGCAATCACACTAATTACTAATCTACACAACCTGACCTGACCTCCGATTCCCAGCGTGAACAAAATCCTCCCTCGTCATGTTCCAGCGCGTCTTTCCTTTCTGTGTTTGCCAGACTTTGTGTGCACTCCTCAAGTAAAGAGCAAAAACGGGACGAATAATCCCCGTTTGCAGAGTGTTTGCTTGATTTATGACATTCCAGATGTGGTACCGGGGGTGCAAAATGCAAAGATTATGTTGCTTTGTGTGATGCTAAGTCCCCGGTTTGATCCCACCGTTTGGCTCCGGCTCCTTTTTGAACCGAGTCCAGGATAACGTCTGCCAGCGAAGGGTCCCGGTTTTAAAGTATGTAACCACAGGTGGAGTTTGACTCGGGCTTTACTATGGTTCACATCAACCCCGCGTTCTCCATACGTTTGTTTTTTGAAGCTTTTAAAGGAAACAGAAGTGGGGGTTTACTGCGCTTGGCTCGCTCTGAAAATGACACCCGACACCTCCGAGAGGAATCGTTTGCACGACGATACGACATCCGCACGATTTTCGGTGGTATATTTTTGACAGCTGCTAAGAAAACATTCCCCCCCACATGGGAGCCGGTGGTCCAGACTCCACATTATTTTCAGATATCACCATGATTCACAATATTCATCATAATATTTTTCATTGTGATTACAGAGTGTAAGGAGAGATCGCCACGCAAACCAGATTGCAGCAGCGACAACCAAAGATCGCCGCCTGCCAACAATAATATTTCAGTTTACGAATCGCAAATGAAAGAATAACTTAACAAGCTCTATAAGTTCAAGTCAAAGCAAGAATTCGGTTGCGTTTTGAATTAAACTAAAGGCTGTAAATGAAATCAACAAGCTCGAAAACTGGACCCGAGAGTGATGAGAGACTGATGCGAAACATCACTCTTGCTCAAAAACATGGCTGTTTTCTCACAGTATCCCGAGCACGGTCACGGAACAATGATTTCAGGGGAAAAAAAAGAAATGTGGCTGGGAATTTCAAGATGAGGGTCAGTAACCATGAACAATCTGTCGAAGCCTTTTCAGCAGCTCCGCAGTCGGAATGTGAAATAAATCAAAGTGGACTTAAAAGTTCATTGAGATGTTTGGTCAGACAAATATTTTGCTCAGACAACACAAAATGGATCCCGCCGCGTTGCGTATTGGGTTTTTTTTACGTCGTGTTGTTTGGTGGTTTAGCGTGTGAGTAACAGAGAGGCACTTGAAGGCATCGATAAAAGTCTAGTTTGGCTTTTTATCTACACTCAGGGTGGATGGCACTTTGGTCCAGAATGAAATATCTCCACAACTATGGCAAGAACTGTTATAGAATTTTAGACAGACATTTAACGGGAGATTCTTGGACTTATTTGGCATTATTGGGGATGATGTCCCACATAGGATGAATTATATCAGAGCATATCTTTATTAATTTGTCCAATTTAATCCCATTTATGTCATACCGGGATAAAGAAGTCGTGCCTTTAAAGACAAAAGCTCCACCTGATTGCAACAACCTGTGCAGTTCACTTAGATCCATTAATTTCTTTAACTTCTGAACCTAAAAGGCCTTTAAAAACCCATTTTCTAGAGAAATAAACCACAAAAACAAGGAGAATCTTTGCATTTCCAACAAGTCCTTAGATCATAATCATGTGTGATGTCGTTCCATGAGGAAAATGAACCAAATCTGAGCCTAAAATCAGGATATTTCATCAAAACATTTAAAAAATCACCAATAATGACCTGCTTACTCTGATCAGATTCTGGAAAAAAAACAAAAAATTCTGCCCTCCCTGGAACAACCATGAAGCTATTAGTTACTCAGCTGTGACCAAATGTCAGGTAAAGAAAATTCAAAATAGTTTTGGCTTAACTAGATTGAAACGTAGGCTGTGCTGCAAGGGGGGAAGGATTGTAAACAGAACTATAGTATGAACAGCCATTATTTTTTCTTTTTCAAGTATTTGCAACACTTCTGAGCACTTGGAAAAGTCTTGTACATGTTAAGTCCATTTTATATTTTCCTTCGAGTTGAGAAAAAAAAAGAATAATCAAAGAAATTCAACTTAGTTTTTTCTCTTTTTGTGATTTATTGCATTGTAAGTGTGTCATACGGCACAGAAGGTAGTTTTGAGTTCTTTCCACTTCTAGTCATGGTTGTGCTGTTTCCACAGAGGTGCAGGACTTTATATTATTGTGAGAAAAAGAGCCAATGTGAGTAAAAATATAACAGAAGCAAAAAATTGTTGAGGGTTCAGAGGGTTGAAATCAGAAAAGTTAAAAATATGCCGTGATTTCAGTAGTGGGTTCTATTCTTTAAATACAGATTATATGATATTGTCAAACATGACATCACATCATATTGCAAATTCTAATTTTGCTCAAATAAAAATGAACCCCACGATGCCTCCAAACTCATCACTTCATCCGTTACTATGACGGCTACAGATTGTGACTTGAAAAGCATCAATTCAACTGTAAGAGCAGCACGAAAGCATCAGCACAGCACTGACAGCTTTCAGAGTTTATTCATGTTCTGCCTTTTTTTTCTGGAATAATCACACAACATGGGATTTTAACATCCCGCAGAAGGTTTTCGCTCCAGCGTTTTGATAGTAGAAGTCATTTGAATGCTATTTGGCACAAAGGAATCCCATGTAACTGGCAGCGTTGCGAAACCTGCTGTTTTAAGCCATGGCTGTATTGTTTCTGAATAATTCCGCTCATGTTGTTCAT